CTTTTTCTTTTAAACAACATGGTCAGGTTACAAAGAAGAGGTTGTTTTTGATGTCTGATTAATTACAATCATTTGTCGTGGCTTTGTGCAACTAATAACACAATAATGATACGATGTGGATGTGCTGCTCATCAGGAAAATATCAACTGGAACAATTCTTCATACGAACTGATGTGACCTTATACCCAGAATCCATTGTGACGACATGTTCAATCTGCCTGATGGTAAAAATGAAAGTGTTTTCTTCAGCCTCCACCTGGGCCGAGCTGCCTCTCCAGCTGTGACTCCATGTGGCATCAAACTTGAGTTATATATTTATATATAGTTACAGTCTGGGCCCCTCGGTCTGACATCTGCTCCCGTGTGTCTCCACAATGTTAGATAGAAAAGAGGAGGCAGAAATAATCGTGAAATAAACACAGTAAGCCAAGATGAATATGATAAACCTCACACACCTCAACACTGAGTCAAATGTGATTTTATCCTAAAAGTTTAAAGAGCAAACTGAAGAAATTCCAATCAGCCTCAGCGAATAAACCTTTAATCTATAAGAACGTTCTGGAAACGATCCAACCTTTCTCCTGGAGTGAATGTTCACATTACACTGTCCTTGGACTCGTGGAAGCCTTGAGGAGAACTGAGTTACTTCAACAAACTGTTTAAAAACCTGGAGACTGGAGCTGAAAAGAACAAATCACACAACAGCAAGGCCAAAGATCCACAGGGGAGAGAGAGCGCTGGCAGGCGTAACTCATGAAACACTGTCACCTCACGGTTTGTACACGGTCAGCGTGAGTTCAGTGTCCTTCTGCAAAGACTAAACACCTCAGATTCCTTTTACAGCAAGTGAGTGTGACATTTGTATTGATTGCAGCATTTTCAAATGATCCTGATTTATTTATTGTGTAAAAAATAGAAATTGTGAGCTGGTGAGACATTTTAATCAAGTTGTGTTTGAAGAAATAAAGAATATATATATATATAAATATATACATGTTCACCCAAAGATTGGACAAAATGTCCCTTTTCAGTGTTCAAAGTGTTTGTTGAAGTTTCCTGCCAACAAACAAACATGTTGTCGACTGTTAGAAGATTGTTGGTCACGTCTTGTCCACTGAACGTGTCCTTGGCTGCTGAAGTTTGTGATGAGCTGTTTACATCCTTCAGACTTTATATTGAAAATGGAAAATGTGCTGAGGTGAAACTCTCTCAACTCTGGGCTGAAAAACAACCTGCGTTCATTGTTATAAAACACGTAGCTTCCTCTGTGGAGACACGTGGAGGTCAGAGAGGTGAGACCTGAGGTCCTGTTGACATCCTGAGAGAAGACGTGAAGCAGTGAGTGATCAGAGAGACAAACTCTGACTGTTCTCCTGTAGAATATCAATAAAACACCAGGTGTTTAGAGACTCTGCCAGGTCGCCTTTATTTATGGAGCCTCCTCTGAATAATCCTGCTGAAGACGTAATCAGCGGAGCAGCAAAGCCCAGTGATCTGTGTCGCTGCTCTTATCAGAACAGAGAAGGGTCGAACGCCGGCGGGGACGAGATGAAGCAAACGTCCCTAATTAATAGTCCACGATGTGGATGTTGTGGTGTGAGACAACAACTACTTCTCACCTCAGCCCTTCACACACATTTCCGCCATAGCCAGACAACACAAGGTTGATCCTGATAAAACGTTACCGCAGCTCTGTGTCTGTATGCCAGTCAGGTGGAAGTGGACTCATTCCTATGGCAACTAGAGTTGGGTTCTGAAATCCGGTTTCTACAGTCGGTAATTTCGGTGTCATGTTTCTGTGCCTGGGCTCTGTACAGAACTTGTCCTGCTCACAGGCAACATCACCTCACATCACTTTTCCAGGATCTCTGATGTGTAGAGAAACTTCCCCCTCCGGTATTTTTTAACATACAATTTGTAGGTTAAGAAGTTTTTTTTTTACTTTTGTGGTGGATTTCAAACAGAACTTTCTGCCACAGGAAGTTAACATAATCAAACTGTGCTTGTATTATAAAACTAAATCTTGTTCAGCCAGTTTACCAAATTGGGTCTTTCTTTAAAAAAAAATTTACTTTAGAGAAAAGTTGATGATTTACATTTTTGCGGATTTCCAGGAAATCTATTGAATGGATGAGACGAAGGCCAAGAAAGAACCAATTACATGTTTGGCTTGAAACCAGATAAAGGGGGTGAATCCAGCTTTTTTCACTCTGTTAAAAAATGAGGTGGTTTTTTTTTCTTGACATTTCCAGGGACTAATTCATGGATCTTAATGAAACATAAATCCAACAAAATCTAAAAACTCTAACCTCATATGTGACCACAAATGATGCATCAGCAGCAAATGTTGTATTAAACTTACTTGTCCGGCTCTGAATTTGACTCAGTGTTTTGCTTATGATGAATGCAAACTGACAACAGAGGTCTGCGATGTCGTTTATAATCAGGTGGGTGGGGATGCTGGTTCTGCTCACAGCACTGCAGCCTCATCAGTTCACTAATCAGAGACCAGGCCGCTGGTAATTATCCAGCCCACCTCCAGGAAGCAGCGGGAAACAGCAGCGGAGTCTGTGCTCGCTCCACCTTCTCCCACCGCTGCTGTTTCATCTGCGCATTAATCAACTCTCTCTGTTCGGCCCGGTGCACGTTTACTCGTAACACTTGACACAAACCTTGAGTGAGCAGCCAGTTAAATCAAATTACCGTCGCAGTGAGCCGTGCAAAGCCTGAGCTCACATGTTACATTGAAGATGAGCATGAAATCCTGATGGTGTCTGGGTAATTTTGAGTCGTGCGTGCGTGTAGTGCTACTTATCCAAAACGATTATTCATAAATGACTATGGTTGTGACGGAGGATCTGACGGGATTGTAAAATGATCTGTGACGTGGAATGAAAAAGCCAAAACCCTCAGGAATCATCAGACTCTCTGCGTCGTGAACATTGAATCCACTTTTCTAGTTATATTTGTATATTTGCCATGACTCAAATAGACTTTTGCGATGAAGACGTGTTAAATATCCAAAGAGGAGTTTGATGTCTTGTTTTATTTCTAGCACAACTCTATGACTCTGTGGTTACAT